TGTGTCCGGAAATGCTTCATTTCGGAGATACAGGGTGTTGAAATACAGAGAACAAATCATGGTTTGATAAAGATTTCATAGGAAAAAAGTAATTTATTTTGACGAGACCTACCAAATACTTGGTTTTGTAAAGTTCTCAGCAACTTCACTTAGCGCCCTAGGAGCTAAGTAACATGGATCAATATAGAAAATATCTCCAAAACGATACCTCCAGCGTAATTAAGGCCTTTATAATAATTCCCTTGATACATAAATATCTATCTACTTCTCATACTGTTGAATGTTGAATTCGGTCGGCACCAAAAACGCCATTCAATAATATATCACGTTGTAGTTTACTTGCTTTTCTGAGTTTCGTTTTCAAATTTTCAATTTCATAATGTAATTTTGCGATCATTTCCCCTTTTTCCATGATTATTTTGTTCTGTATTTGGTGTGATGATAATAATAGAATTTTGTTCTTGAAATCGCCTGCTTTGTAAATTGATGATACAGCAGATTCTCTCAATCAGATTTTGAAATCTTCTGTTTGAAAATGGGCCTAAAATATAGATTCATTCTAATCAGATGATGTTTAAGAAGTGAATTTCAATGAGTAGGTACCTCACAAATTTCGCTCGTCTTCAAATTGATTTTCCACCCAGGCCTCCATATCTTCCTTCCATAAGCGAATACATGATATTTGATTTGGAAAATCGAATAAATGATATCCATTTGTTTCAGAATTGGCACAATTTATTACACATCAAGTTATTTCCATAGCTGCTTTCATCTCGAAAGTATTATAATTATGAAATTTTATTTCAATTCTGACGTTTATAAAATTAATTGTCAAATTCAAAGAATTTTTGAATGAAAAAGCGCGGGACGACTATGGTGCTCTTGTCACGTTGCAAGGTGTGTAACTTTATAAATCTAAACATTCAAAAACCCTAACCGTTGTCATTTCTGTATCCGAACTCTTATAAAACTAATACCATCCAGTGACTCTAGGTATGGTTACTCCTGACAAGCTTATGTTGGGCACAGTGAGATCGGCTTTTCTAGAAAGAAGGCATGCTTGTGTTTTGTTTGCATTGAAATGAAGTTATTGGATCCCCATTCGAGAATTGTTGTCAAGTCCATATTTATGTTGTCAACTTTTCTCCCTCGTTCGTTTCTGATTTGCCTGGCTGGTATTGGAAGGGAAGGCGGTATGGAGGGTACTATCATCCACGAAGCTGTGTACTGGACATGAAGTTGGTTCCAACAAATCGGTGATATAGAGTAGAAAAAGTGCTAGAATTGATCCTTGCGGAACACCAGCATTCATAATAAGAGAGTCAGATGAAACTCCGTCGACCACTACATGAAGAGACCTGTTTGAGAGAAAACTAGCTAGCAGAGAACATAGCTAGGGAGGCAAGCCATAAGATGGAAGCTTGGCGAGGAGTCCGTGGTGCCAGACTCGATCGAATGCCTTGAAGATTTCAAGTACCATGGCTAAGGTTTCACCATATATTTCGAAGGATTGCTGCCATATATGTGAGACGTAAGCGAGCAGGTCACCAGTTGATCTCTGATGACCGAAGCTATATTTCCTATCGTTGATATAATACCTGAATGTTCCAGGTATTTCATGAGCTCGATGTTGATAGCTTTCTCCATGATCTTTGAAATAATAGATAGCAGTACGATCGGTCTGTAGTTGCTAGGTAGGGTCTTTTTGCCTTTTTTAGGAACTGGTTGTACTCTTGCAATTTTCCAGTTGGACGGGAATGTCCCCTATTTGTAACAGTAGTTGAACAACTTACAGAGAACAGGTGTTAGTTCGAGAGCACATTTCTTGAGAACAAGCGGTAGGATTCCGTCGGAGCCACAAGCTTTGTTGGTGTTGAGACCCAATAAAATCTTCCTTATATTACGTTGGCGAAAGGTGATCTCGGGCATATGACTGTCAATTGACGCTATGTTTGGAGGTTGTTTTCCCAACTTGTGCAGATCCAAATGAAGACCAAGAGATATTGTCCAGCATCAACCATATCATAGAGGTGTGTTAATCTATGATCATTTATAATATGGAATGAACCATCATGCTTATAGCTGCAGCCTCAAGGAAGCTATTGTTCGAATCAAGAAGTTTCAACCCCAAATTCTCCCCATGTTTCGAATGATGTCTGCAAATTTGGAACTATTATATCCAAAACATACCCTAAGGTCACTGTGGATTCATAGTAAATATAATTATCAATGGCCCAGCTATGCCCAACATAAGCAAATTACTTCAAGGATTGTTTACAGCACCACAAATATATTGCAAACCTGCAACACCTATACTACTCCATGTATATTGTATATTGAAATTCAATATAGGAATTGACAACAAGGCCATCACCTCCTCGTAGAAAAACAGCTGTCCACTTAAAGACAGAGGTACCAACGCCAGAACGCCATGGTGGAATTCAGGAATAGAAAACCACCGTAGGCTCACAAGGAAGCTTCTAAACAGAGCGAAACGCACCAACATAGCGCAAAACTGGGAAGAATATAAGTCTGCCCAGAAAGCGTACAAAAAAGCCATTCGGTAAGCACAGAGAGATAGTTGGCGAGCCTACTGCGAAGGAATAAACACAATTCCTTCAGCAGCAGGAATATGCAAAGTTCTCTCCAAAGAACCGGGAAGAGGAGTTGGCGTGCTGTCTCTGCGAGATGGTCGAGAAACCACAACGGCAGAAGAAACATTGCAGCACCTCATCTTCCCACACTTTCCGGATTCAGAAATATCCAACGAACCATCTTCCAGGACGAGCCCAGTGTGAAGAACTCACATGGACTATCAAACGGCGTCAAAGGTCGTTACATGCGAGAAGGTGAGATGGGCTGTGAAGACATTCGCACCATTTAAACCACCAGGGGAAGATGGAATATTGCCAGCCCTCCTACAAGAGGGACTGGATACTATCATTTTCCTGATTCTGAAGATATTTCCGTCTTGTCTGGTTCTGGGCCACATTCCAGTGAAATGGAGATCGGTTAGGATCGTATTAATCCCGAAACCAGGGAAAACAGATTATTCCCATGTCAAAGCGTATAGACATATCAGCCTCACGTCTTTCCTCATGAAAACACTGGAGAGGCTGATAGATCTATACATCAGAGATTTGCTACTGCAGATAAACCCGCTGCACGCACAACAATATGACTGGAAAGTCCATAGATGCGGCTTTTCACGATCTTGTCCATAATATAGAAGGAGTGCTAGCCAGTGGACGCTCAGCCATGGAAGTCTTCTCAGATATAGAAGGAGCATTTGACAATACGTCATTTGAATCGACATGCCGCGGGGTCCATCAAACTTTGACCAGGTGGATAAGGGCCATGCTATCGCAGCAAGTGGTGAGAGCAGAATTATGTGGGAGAGGTCAGTTGCTGCCAAGGTATCAAGAGGATGTCCTCAAGGAGGGGTGTTATCACCACTGCTATGGTGCCTGGTAGTGGACGAGCTCCTCATGAATTTGAATGAGTCAGGGCTATATGCGTAAGCATATGCAGATGACTTGGTAATAATGGCCCAAGACCAATCGTTGAACCGGATAGGGAACCCAATTATGGAAGCTCTCGATAGAGTGGAACAGTGGTGTTCCACCAGTGGATTGAGAGTCAATCCAGAAAAGGCGAACTCGGTATTATTCCCTAAGAAACGCAAAAAAGGAACACTTCCTGAGATATTTCTTTCAGAAAGTGTCTCCAATAGACTCCAAGCTCACTTGCAATGAGCACATTGCAAACCGCAGTAAGAAGGCTGTATGCTGCTTCTGGGCATGCAGACGAGCCTTTGAAAAAACATGGGGTCTTACACCTAAGACCCTCCACTGAATATACACGCCAGTAATTCGCCCAGTACTTACGTACGGGTCCATTATTGTATGTTGAACCAGTACAAATAAGGGTAAGACCATAAGAGAACTGGATTGAGTCCAGAGACTGGTTTGCCTGGGAATAACAGGTGCTCTTAGAACGACGCCACACGACGCCAACCAGAGCTCTGTTAGATCTGCCGCCTCTACACCTGCTCATACAACACCATGCCATGAGAACTGCTTACCGACTCAACGGAGCAAACCAGTGGGTCGGAACAGAAGCAGATCATGGACACTCCCTCACATGGAATATGGCAAAGGAAAACGGGACATCCGTCGATCAATCGGCAGGAAGGTCGAGTTCTCATCACACACCAAGGCGGCGGAATCTCTCCAAATCTTGGATTGGAGGTTGTGAGTTTGACTCTCACGCGGGGCGGTGGAGTTTTTTCATTTTCCGTTGTCACTCGAAATTAGGGTTTTCCATCATCTTCATTATTATATGTATCTGTTCGGTCGAGTAACCAACAAGAATGATCACTCACTTCTATGTATAGTGTGCTTGCGGACATTTCTGTATACAAGGAAGACAATGCCATAGGACGAACAGGAAAAAATTGAGACTGTATAGTATCATCCTGCCAGCGATGCTTCATATAGTGCATGATTTCGAGGGACTTTGGCATTTGGAGGGATTCTGCCGCCTGATGAGAACTCGACCTTCCTGCCGATTGATCGACAAATATCCCGTTAGCTCAATTGGCAGAGCGTTGTGCATATAACTCGTTGTGAGTTCGACTCTCACGCGGAGCGGTGGAGTTTTTTTCATTTTCCGTTGTCACTCGTAATTAGGGTTTTCCATCATCTTCATTATTAAAAATACGTTTTTGTCAAATTTGCATCAAGCGGCCCAGGTAAAAGTACTTGAATGACATTAATTTGTCTAATAATAAATCCCAATTTCATCTTTCACTGCAAGGAGAGTCACTATTTCTGCAAATACCTGCTCAATATATTGGATCTCAATTTTACAAATATAAAAAATACGAACACGAATAATTTAAGATATTAAATCAATTAAGTCGAACATTTTGAAAATAATATGGCTCAATGAACGATGAAATGTTATACTCATCTGAGTATTGAACTATATTTTTTTAGGTTATCGGTTCGACAAAGCTCAAGGTCGAAGATGAAGTGAAGCCAAAACTCTATCAAACGATTTTCAACAAAATCACATGGTTCATCGGAACAGGCCGTAACGCTATCTTGGTACTAATATGTGGCTACATAGGTTTCATTTACTGCTCGATAGGCGAACCACCATTCAGAGTCATCGGAAATGTTCCTGAGGGATTGCCTGCGTTCAGGATACCTTCCTTTGGGTTCCAAAAAGTTCAAAATGGCACAATGGAATCCTTTTCGTTCTTCGAGATGGTGTCCAATTTAGGAAGTGGGATCATCATTGTACCACTAGTGGGTCTTATGGAAGATATAGCAGTTTGCAAGGCTTTTGGTGAGTGAAAAATAGTCGTAATTTGGTGAGAAATAGTCGTTGGAATAGATTGTCACAGGTTACTTAAGGAAACCCTTCATTTTGTGTAACGATAGGATTTTGCGGAAGAAGCGAAGCAAGATATCGCAAAAAACAGAGAGAGTTACACAAAATGCGTTTTCTAACGTGTAACGTACAGTCGCATTCAAAAAAAAAAGCATACAAGTATATTACAGAGAGAAATTAACGTCATCCTATTCTGCATAAAACGGGCTATCGGGAATGATTGTTCACCAAATGTTGACAGTAAAGTTGTCATAGGATCTTGAAAACACAAAGCATTGGCTGAGCCAGTTTCACACAACTAGAACTAGAATCCCGAAATCCTTTCTTTTTGATACTTGTACGCTTTTTTATTGAATACGACTGTACATACTTTTTTCGTTGACCTCTACAAATCTTTGTTTATACGTCCATGATATCATATTATTTCACGTTCTATCCGAACGAAAAATCGAATATCCCCGAAGGCAAGTACTTTTCGTCAGCACACACTAACTTTTCGTCCGCAAAGACTCTTTGTCCGCTGCAGGATTGCCAATTCTACTGATTTTTCAGTAGATCTCCTGATTTGCATATTAATCTACTAATCTATTAAAACTTTTCATAACCTACTGAAAAATATTTTGACACTTGTAAATTGCATGATATTTTGGTGTGCTTTGTTTAAATTAATTTTACAAAAAAGGTAATGATTATACATATTGGTACTGATGATATGTATATGTATTTGTTATACATATACCGCTGTTATAACAGTTCGTGCCGTCTTGATTTGTTTTTTATTTTTGTTGTTCATTTTCACTATTCGTTCCTGTTTCATATATACTCAAATCTTATATGTACTTATGTAACTGTATTTTGAGGTATTTTTGAGTATTCCGAATTGACAATTAGGAATATGGTTATTTTTTCATGAGAATGTCTGTTTGTTCCTATCTTGTTTGAAATATTTTATTTTTCTGTTCACTAAAAGTACATATCTTAAATAGATCTATTGAAATCTACTGAATTTTTGACAAGGTATTTACTGATGGAATAAAAATCGAACTGGCAACCCTGGTCCGCGCGGAGAATTAAGTTGACAACAACTATCATTTGCTATTGTCAAATCATTTATTCACGAAATCCGATTGATTTCACGTGTGAATAGAATCGTGATGTGAATATAAGTGTTTGAGGTCGACAAAAAATATTAATATGCACCTCGGCGAAAAACTGTATATTGTCTCACCTGGTTGCCAAATTCTACCAGATATGTATGGAATGTGAACATTTTCAATATACCCTGAAGAAACTATATTAGTCACCTTATATATTTTTACCTCACCTAGAATTCAATATTCTTCCATAAGGAAACTCTCTTCAATCAAGCAATTCCTTGAACGTTGAAGCTCGAAGCTATATTTATTTCAATTTCAAAATTAAGCTATGTTTTTTTTTCATTTTTGAAACCGTAACATTTCGTTTTCGTGCAGCTGCAATCTCTACCTGAAATTATTAAAAAAAAAAAAGAAACTCGACGCTTTAAACGCTTTCTGTAGATCGATATAACGAAGAGTAGTTGGCGGACTTGAAAAATAAGCCCCTGAAATTCTGACACTGACTTTAGAAACACCCTGTTTATTAGGCTAAGATTCTTGGACAAAGTAATCTCCTCATGCAGAAATGATATTTTTGAAAATACCGCCACGGCAATGCAACAACACTGAGCGAGAGGTCATAATATGTCCTTATTCTCTTTCCTGCAAGGAACCGGAGGAATATTCAATACTCGCATTCGAACACTGTTTTTTAAACGCCTCGACACGTGTTTCGCTAAATATGTCAGTATCTTCAGAATATGCTTACTATATGTTAGTATCTCCAGAAGAAGATTGAAACTTATCACCTAACTTATACAGGGGATTCCTCAAGTACGTGTAGAAAATTCAGGAGCATGTTGCTGACGTCAAAATAAAAAGAAAAGTTCGTATAAATATATGTCCGAAAGTTATTCGTTTCAGAGATACAGAGTGTCAAAGTTGAATTCTTATTTCTGTTTTTTTGTTAATAAATTTCAAAATGATTATGATATTCGAATGAAGTTTGCTATCTCGGGGTATTTTTCGATGACAATATCAAATGTTTTGTTAGTTCGTCTCTTTCGTGGGGGTGGCGCCACATACATGTCTTTTGAAAAGTCATAACTTTTTGTACGTACCTGTATCACGTTTCATGGTAGAACAATAGATTACTAGAACACTTTTGTGTAAAAAATATATTCTTGGTGAAGGTCGCTGCGAGCTACTGTTTTCGAGTTATTATGGGATTTGAAATAATCAATGCAGTAATTTGTAATGACAAGAAAGTGGAATTCAAAATTGAATTATCAAGTAAGGAAAATTATATTTTTCAATTTCATTCTCAAATAGGAATCGGGTGTTATTACAATTCAATACTAATGATAATAACAGTACGCACAAAAAAGTTATGACTTTTCAAAAGACTCAAAAGACATGTAGGTGGGGGTGGCGCCACGAAAGAGAAAAACTATCATAAAACTTGATATTGTCATTGAAGAGTTCCCCTAGATACCGAACTTCATTCGAATGTCACAATTATTTTCAAAAATAATAATTCAACTTTGACACTCTGTATCTCAGAAACGAATAACTTTCGGAAATATATTTATACGAACTGTTTTTCTTATATCGCCACTTCTGAATTTTCTACACGTACTTCAGAAACACCCCGTATGAGCTCTCAAGGAACAGAACTTCTTGAGTAGAATGGGTTATCGTGTGATACCAACCATGAACAATCAAAATGTTTTCCAATCGAATGAAGTTGACTTGAATTAGGTGATATGTTGCATGAATCCAACTCAAAAATTATAAATTTCTTGTCAAATGTAGAAAAGAATATTCATTTTTCAGCAAATGGTAAAACAGTCGACGCAACTCAAGAACTTATCGCGATGGGCCTATGTAACATAGGTAACTCATTTGTGCAAGGATATCCGGGAACGGGGGCCTTGGCAAGAGGTGCTGTGAACAATGCAAGTGGTGTGCGAACCCCCTTAGGAGGGTTATATACCGGCATTCTCGTAATTACATCTCTTTTATTCTTCACTCCATATTTTTATTACATCCCGAGTGCGGTGTTGGGAGCTGTTATCATTGCTGCTGTTGTCTTCATGGTTGAATTCAAAGTGGTCAAACCTATGTGGAAATCAAAAAGTGAGTTATACCTACATCTTCTACCTCAAAAATGACTGCGAGTTAGGATGTTTCTCAACATTGCAGTTGAACCTAAAAATAATAATTTATGATGGTTGTTGTTTATTTAATTGATGTTTGGTGCCTATACTTGCCTTGTTTTTTGGATCTTACGAATTCAAGTTTGATTCCTCCATGCGTAAACTGCTGATAGTTGGAGACATCTATATCCTCTTGTTTCTTTAAATCTGCATTACATTCAAGCAAATCATTTATTTCTTACTTTCATGCTGTTCATCAGATATTTTTGAATAGGTAGGTAAAGTATATCCAATATCAGTTGCAGAATATCCCGCACTGTGCGGCGTCGGCGTGTTTGAAGTTCCCTGTGAAGTGACTGCAGGTGCGGCACGAGATTCTGCAATTGTTTTTGAATAAACTTTAACTACCTATTACTTTCTGTGAAGGTAGGTAATCAGCGAAAATAAATCAAATAATTACTAATAAATTCATGGAGATCGTTTTAGATATTGGTAATTCATAAATTATCAACATTTACTCTGTTATGGTCCACTTTTGTTTAGAGGAGTTATTGACAGGTTGAATACTGAGCGGCCGATATGTTGCACAGTATTAGTCGATAACAGAATATTGAGTTGTGGGTTGAGACTATATGACAGGAGAAAAATAAAACATGGCTGAAGATCTATAATCGATCACATGATGAAGAATACCTAAACTTCTTACATAAATGATTATTTCTAAAAAAAATTAAATAGAATAACTTATCTCAATTTGATTAGCATGTAGTGCCCCTGGAATTTGAGTCCTTGAAACCTTCTGAACCAAATAGTTAATAACAATTTGTGGTATAGAAGCCCATCGTACACTTCAAAGTGGTCATGTACAGTTGCCAGTGATCAAAACCCCAAGTCATCTCCAAAATTTTAATAGTGAATGATATAACTCAGACATCATAAAAATCATACATGTTTCGAGCGTAAATATACGTCCATCTTCAGCGAAAGAAAATTGTGAAGAACAGAAGAGTGGTTCTAATCTACTATAGTATAACATACCTAATCTAATTTGCTGTAGAGCATGATCGAGATTCTTGTGTTTTACCTTCTGGGGCCTATGAAAGAAAACAAAGTTAAATTCAACAACGAAATCCTTCATGTCATCATTTTAACTCAACGACTCATCAATATAAATGATAGTAAACGCTCATGCTCATACAACTTTCTACAATCTCTGTTCTCATCTGATTTTCTCTATATGCTTTCAATTGTACAGGGTGGCTGGAATTCGTCCTCATCATTGGTATCTCGTAAACCGTGAGAGATACAGGGTCGATTAAATTATGGCGAAGTTGTGCAATATTATGCTCACAAAATGTCGTTTCGAAATTTGAAAAAACTCCGAATGGGTAGGTACTTTTTGAAAAAAAAACGAATATTTCCGATTTCATTTTCTTATGACGTCATTTGAATAGATGTAACAAAATAAATTACATATTATTCTCATTGCCACTTTTTAGTTCTACAAGAAAGTGTCACTCGAATCTAGTTGGTATTGATCAATAACGACTTGTGACTGGTGACTACTATTCATTCAGAATTCAAAAGAAGTGCTTATAACGGTTGTGTAGTTCACTAAAGTTTGTCCTGAAAGAACTGAACTGCTGTATAGACTGGGGCCCTTTTGTTTATAAAGACATTGTATAGCGGTGTATAGCCACATTTTAAGGTTTCCACGTTTCTATAAGATGTGCTTTATAGCCATTCTTACAGCCTTTATGAAATTAGTTTCGCTAGTTAGGATATCATATGTCTCTTCAACACATGGGTTTTTATGCAAAATGCAATTCATAAGAAATGTTCGCATGAGTACGATACACCGTTGGTTTTGAAAGATTGAAAGCTCTCAAAATCTACAATGGAAAATACAGGGCCGTATTAAAATAACAAAGTTGATGATGGCAGCTCAAATACAGAACGTCGGTTTGAAAATCTGATAACACCATCTTGTAGACAGAACAGAAAAAGTTGCAATTAGAATTCAAATTTGTTTTGTCACATCTATTCAAATAGAGTAAAAAAAAATAAAAATGATATCGCGAATATTCGGGAAGTATTTGGAATTTTTCAGATTTCGAAACAGCACTTTATTAGGAATGAAATTGCGCAACTTTGCCATGATTAGACTCACCCTGTATCTCTTATGGTTTACGAGATCCTAATGATGAGGCTCAAATTCCAGCCATCGAAGTTCAAGCTCAAGCCTTGACTTAATAATATTTTCTTCATCGTTACCCGAACAAAACTCAATAGTTGTTGATGAATCATCAATAATTGAAGTCAAAAACTATGAGTTGATAATAATTGAATCCAAAATTCCTATACCAGGTGACCCGGAACCCGGTACATCGATTCGATTTTATATGAAATCGTGAAAAATAGTCACCTATAGTGTGAATGAAAATTATTGTGTGAGAATTCTGACATCGAATCATTGTTTCTCATATGCTATTGTTTCATTATCCCTAGCACAGTTTCATGAAAAAAATCCGTTACGAGGGGAATACAAAAAGTATACTATTTTGTGAAATCTCGATTATTTGACTAGTTTGTTGATTGAAAATAGTTTTATGATGTATTGTTAGAAAGGTAATTCCATACTGAATCGTAATATTCAGAAAAATCATACTTAGTATTTGAAATGAAAAAAAATTGGATGCACTTCGGATCAAACTGGAAGTGTCATATTTTGTCTGATACTAGCAAAATCACACTCTTGCAATCGAAAGTTTGTACCAAATTTGAAATATTCATTCGAAATAATAACGAAGATACAGGACTGTCTGATACTAGCAAAATCATACATTCTTGCAATCGAAACGATGTATCAAATTTGAAATATTCATTCGAAATAATAACGAAGATACAGGAGGGTAAACCGGTTGCGGATCACCCGGTATAGTACTTCATGATTTTTTTTCTGAATTCACGCATACAGATACATTCATTACTGCGATTTATTTTCATTCAAATATACTGTCTCTATGTAGGTTTTTTGAGGAGGTGGATAATTCATTTTTTCAGATTATTGGGAGTTTCTCTCTTCGTTTCTGTAAATAAAAATATAAGTATTATTTTTCAATGAACATGTTGTGAAGGAAGGATAAATCTAAGTATGAAAATAATGAAAAATTCGAGATCAATCAGAGAAACACCCTATAACTTATATATTTTTCTGATAACTAAATCTTGTCACAGAGAAGTAAAAAAAGAAGAAATCCATTTTTATTGGAAGCGGGAGCAGATTCATACCGAAACGTCCGAAAACAATATAGTGATATTTAATTCAATCAATCTTCTTCTTCACACTTCTTCAAAACAAGGTGTCACACTGATGACTGTATAGATTGAATTTCGTTTTTAGGTCCCTCTTAATCAAATTTCGAGCTCAGTGACATTTTAGGGCAAATCATCTGATTTGTTCTTGCCAGAAGTATATTTTGTAATGATACTATATTTTTATTCGTGAAGATACGAGGAGAAAACATCCCAAAAATCTGGAGGAATGTCCTCTCATATACTTTCATCATTTCAGAAAGCTGTTTTGTTGTGTTCTGCGCGACGTTTATTGCTTGCCTTATACTGAGGTTGGAGATCGGAATCCTAGTAGGCGTTGGTATCAATATTCTATTCATACTCTACCATGCTGCAAGACCAAAACTGAGTTTCGAAAATTTGAAAGTAAGTATACCCCCTATCCATACCTATAATAAAAAATACACTTTGCGAAATACACTGTCTACACTACCCTGCAGCAAAAGGCACTGAGAATGGGTGCGCTGACATATTTTAATTTTTAAATATCTACTAGATCATGGTAGTGAGACGTGAAGTCAAGGTTAGTAGAACCGACATGTATTATTGTTTCGCTTGATTTTGCCTCTTTCTTAATATAAAGGGTGGAGTAATAATAATGGCTCAAGTCCTATATATGACATGTGAATCAAGAACGAATGTAAACTAGACAACTAGGTCTAAAGCTGAACATTATTGCCGTATACGACACGCCTGAAATAGTTATTTTTGTATCTAGAGCGCGAAATGCTACTTTGGTGATCGAGATCTGATTTTGCCCTATGAGCTTCAAAAAACGACTTGTTGATAGAATTTCAACCTTGATAATAAGTTTGTTTGAAGAATAATTCGATCAACTGAAATATTGATAACAGGGTGATGCCTAATATCTTGACAATTGATTATGATTTGTAATAATCATGAATTTTCGTATATCAAATAGGAAAAACACACTATCCGTGTTGAGAATTGAAGTTCATTGAATAAATGATGAAAGCGAGTATACAGGGCGGTATCGCACGTAAACATTTGTTCCATTTCATGGAGGCCCCAATAACCTAAGTGAAAATATACTTTATATATCTCATGTTGTTGCAAAAGCAAGCCTATCAAATAGCATGCTGAAAGATGGCCTGGCCTGTGAGGAAGTTAGATTCAGAATAACTATTCAAGTTTTTCGTAATGATATTATTATTAGCAATCTCCTGAAGTGAAAACCTTGTGGATGTACACACCATGTGGGACAATTCTGAATCAGCAAGGGTATTAGATGAAAAAACAATTAATAAATCAATCTTGAAGAAGTAAGTTTTGCATATCATTTAGTCAGATCAATTGAGATTCATGAAATTCAAGTAACTGATACGTCTGTGCAATACCGCCCTGTATAGTATACACACGATTTCTCCATTTATTCAATGAACTGCAATTCTCAATATTCTGTTTTTTTCATTTGATATTCGAAAATTCATGATTATTACAAAACAAAATTAATTGTCAAGATATTACACATCATCCTGTTATCAATATTTCGGTTGATCGAATTATTCTTCAAACAAACTTATTATTAAGGTTGAAATTCTATCAACAAGTCGTTTTTCGAAGCTCATAGGCCACAAATTCACTTCGAAAAATATGTCTGTTCTACCACCCTTAAAGACACACAATACAACTTTTGAATCGCTGTTGCTCGAAAACTAGTCATATATTATGATTGAGTTGGGCCCATAAGAGCTTTTGATCAGGATATCACAAATTACAACATACTTTAAGTATATGTAATATTCTCTCAACTGTGCTATAATTCCAGCCGATTTGACCGGGACCCAAAAACCCGTAAGAGTGGTGCGGGGTCCTTTATCATACCACATCCTCGTTACTGATGAACAAACCTATAATTTGAACAATCACCAATAAAGTCATGCACATGTATTCGGATTTATTTTAGGATAAAGCAAATTTCAAAATTGGAGTGAATTTTCAGTGGTCATTTTTTTGCAGGGCAGTGTAGATGCTATATTTTGTATTCTTATTATTATTTTTAATTTGATCTGTTGATAGTGACTGTGCCAATTTTTGTTTGGGCTGAAAATGACAATTTCTCTATACTTTACCCAGAATATTTTCTGTTGACTTTGAAATATATTGCACGAGTCAATGGGCATACTAACAAGTTATCAAAAGTATGGTCTTAGTTAGGTATACACTCGTCTTCAGAGATAATGTCGGACATGGACGGTGTCAGCTGCCTTGATCACCGCTGTAATAAGAGCGCTCTTACCGTCCAACCGCGACATGTTCGCTGGAGACTAGTGTACTCAAAGTCACGAAGACACAAATTACAGTTCCATATGTTTTTTTTACATTATTATTTCTAGGGCTGGCTGTTAATAAGCGTCCAAAGTCACCCAGATTTCCCCTATACATGGTGTTTCACAATTTATCCGACGAATTTGAACCAATAATATACAGTGTTACATTAGGAGAAAAAAGTCCAACAGAAAACTAAATGAACAATGAAAACTTTCAAGAGTGTTTGTCGTCATTGGATACGCCGACATTGATGTATTGGAAGAGACCAAGCTTGCGTTGAAGCCAATGAAGCCCATTTCGAACAGCTTTTGTAGAAATGAAAGTGTATTGAATTTTATATTTTATCCCCGTTTTAATGGGTTCAATTTCTTTTTTGTAAATGACTTCCCATGTTACGCTGTATAAATGTGGTTGAAATTTGTCGAATAAGTTGTATATCGCCCCGTGTATAACACATTTTAACTGCCACGCTTCTGATTGGTGGTAACCAATATCAACTATACTACAGAATTGCAGCAAGAAAATATCATAAATCATCAAGATATTTTTTTTATACAAATATAATACAGTGTGCCCAAGATAAGGATGATCTCGGTAACCATAAGCGAGTTACACAGAAAGTCAAATTGGCAAAAATTGGCACGATCGAAAAAAAAAGGGAATTTGGCGATTTGGTTATTGGCACTTTTTCAATTCTACAAAATGGTGTTCACAAAATTTCAGTACATCGTTTCGTTCCGAAGGGATCATAATCAGCTTTGTTTTTTTATATGGCACTGAAAAAAGCACCTCCACTATTTGAATGACACTGCATTTCATAATGTGAATGCAACGCGGCGTTCCACACATCAATATGTTTTTTCTATGGCTATAACACAAAATTGCTTTTGTTTGACTGTGTTCGATACATCAATGAGGTACTTTGTATATCATCAATTCAATTTCCGTATCTGATATCACAATGACTTCATTGTATTATTATTTCTCAAAATCTCATCCACTATGGAATGTTAAATGTCAAGCAATGACATAATATCTGTCTAATAGATGCGAGCATTACTTACTTGAGAAAATCAGATGGATAAGAGCCAAAGAAATCAATTTTGCTGTTATCTGATATAGTTGTAGAAAAGTATAGTGTATAACTCGCACGGAATGCTAATTTCCCACTTATATGATTTGCAGCATTCGACTACGGCTCTTGCTATCAACTTCAATCTCGTGGGAAATGACTATCATACCTTTCCTTCTTTCTTTTTATTCTGGAAAAGGTTGAATACAACTTTTTAACAAAATTTAATTTTTATATATCTAACAGAAACTTAGATAATAAGAACTGAGAAGGCACAAATTATTATCAGATTGTGAATATAAAGTGATATAGCATATATATGTTCAAACAGATAACTTTCAGTTTTGCCCGTCTCACTGTGAAAACACGAATCAACATTAGTAATTCTATCAAATGATGATCGTACTGTGCCTTCGAATTTTTCTTTGTTTACCTCAATTTTGATAATATGGCCCTACAAATGAGTATAAGGGTGTTAGGTCTGGTGACCATGCTGTCAAAGGTGTATACAATCCTCTTTTTTTGGGAATCGCTCCCACAGGTATTGGCGAACGGTTGTGGAATTATGATTTTGTCGTCACAGACGAACTTTTTCTGGTCGACCTTTCTGGGTTTTTAGTGACTGATTGTGAAACTAGGTAAGTATTATTATTCTTCAGCTGAAGGTTTTGGACTTGCCAGGTTGTTTTCGCTCTGAGCATTTGTTCGAATAAACAGGGTGGCCCACACTTCGTTGTCCCACCATTGTTATCTCTGACAAGATGAGGGTGGCCCTGGATGAACGAAACGTTGTATCAAAAATCTGATTGCACCAGATCAATTAACATATAGAATGAAAGAAAACATGACTGTGTAGTTTTTGTCTATTTCCAGAAATGAAAGAGCTGCGCCCGAAAACGAACATCGTCAATTTTGTTTTCAGTCAATTTTCTCGAGTACGGCTCATGATATCTTTGATTTCTTCACATAATCTTCAGATACCCCAAAATGTGCACCTTTTGTCTCATTTAACCAAATTTTTATAACCGTTTCAGACATTGGAATAGTGGGACAACGAAATGAGGTCCACCCTGTAAACATCTGTGTGGCAGGAATGCATATTGAACTTTTCTTCGTTTATGAACTCACTTTCCTCCATTTTAGTGTAAAAGAAACGAATGCAATAACTACAACAATGGAATACTCATTCAATACGGATATTATTCTTCAAAAATTTCAAGAAGTATTTTTTTTTTCACTTATACACGAGAGCTTCTTGACGAAGTTAACTTGACATTTCAATGAGAATTTTGTTGCCTGACAATCGAACGACAAAAGTCACCTTCGAAAAAATTACTCGTTCTAGGACGGGTGATTCAGTTTTTTTTTATTATTTAAATTTTCTAAAGGTGACAAAACTCGAGTTATGAATCTCAAGTTAACTTCAACACTGAAAAAAATGACCGAGTGTAATCCGGATCATCGTGTCCGAGTTGTTTAAGCGCTAGATAGCCGTGTGATTCTTGATTGTAATCCTGGCAATACCTTGAAGCACTATAAGTGGTTCGAATCCCACTATAAGCTGTAGGTTCCGCTCTTCCTAACCCCGCACAAGTATCGACTTCTGAGGAGCTGGTTCCCATCTTCGAAGTAGCGATATACTAATTCCACAAAATTCGGTAAGACAATTCAATGTCACTTTTGTTGATGGGTTTTCCAATTTTTTCACTCGAAGACTCTCCAAATCGCGGCAAAGATTATACAGGGTGTCTCGAAATTCGACCGACAACGCTTAACAGGAGGTAGCTCTCGTGATTTGGTGAATAATGAGGTAGGAACATAAGGGTCCCACGTGATTAGTTATCGAGTTACAGGGTGTTGAAGTTGGGAAATAAAAATAATTTATTCGCAATAACTCAAAAACGGCTGATCTTTTTTCATTCAAACTCGAAAAGTGAATCAATATTGAGGAACTTCAATTCCAGACAAAAAATTCATAATCAACAATTCATCCAGTGGCGAC